ACACTTCTGCACTTCCTGAGTGGTCCTTTCTGCCTCTCTGCCCCTCCTGCCTCCTCCCCCTCCCAGTTTTTGTTCTTCTGTGCTATTTAATCTGTACTGTCTGCCCTGTCTTTATCACACTGAAGAAGGCTTCACAGCCAAAATGTGTTTTCTCTCTTCTCTTTTCAGCATGGAATAAACCTATTACTTGTTCCTTTGCAGACTACTCATGATGACGCAGCTACCCACCTGAACTATTATTAGTTATGCTATGGATGCAGTATTCACCAGAATTTAGTCACATTCAACATTTAAGGGATAAGCAGGGATAACATGAGTTCAGAGACTACTGAAGAGGCATATGCTTGTCTAGGCTCCACAAGAGGAAGAGCACACATTGGGCACATATGCTATAAGCCTGTGACTTTTCATAAAAAAACACCCCCAACCTCTCTTTATCAACCCTCTTGATAACAAATGTGCATTAGCCCAATTAATACATCTGTCTTGTTTTTTTAAAATAACATTTAGCATACCTTCTGCAAAACTATGGTTTTCCTGATAACAAATTTGTGACTTGTGGTTTGCAATTTGAAATTTTTGGACACACTAGTGAGCTGTTTCTTTTGAAGGCTATATAATGATTTTTTTGGTGTAATGCATAACACTTTTTCTGTCCAAATATAGTAGTTCACACATGCAAACCAAGATATAGTCTCCAGAAGAATGTTGTTTACAGACCTATAAATGAAGACATAATTATGCTTAGATATTGACATAATATCCCAAACACCTTTGTTTTAGCACATTTTGTGGATATTACCTGTAAACCATTATGGTGTATTTATAGAGCAACTAATCTCCACACAGGTCTGCACTGACACACATGCATATTCACATAAACATACTGTATAAGACAGAATTATACATAATAACATATGTCTGCATATCACAATCCACAATCCAGTGCAGCATGATGAATCAGGTGAAGGTGTATTAAAGATATTTCTTCTCAAAAGTCTGTTTCCTTCTTATCTATTTTCCAGCACTTCTGACCTGTCATATTCATGTCGTTGTTGTGTTCACCATTTTGTATTTTCTTTCCACATAATAATTCAAAGTAGATGGTTTTTAATATACCCGATAACTGTGCTGATGCTATATACATTAAAATTAGCATTCAGTGTTCATATTTGTGCAGCTTCTTGTGATTAAAAATAATCACATAAAGACATAAATTACAAAGATTATTTTACATTACTTTGTTCTGTGCTTATGCATAGGAAACAGGTGACACTGATTTATATTTAATGCACAAATAACTTTAAGTTGCATTGAATTAGTTGTAATTTATGTTATATATATAAATTCATGTTGTAGCTAAAGGAAGATGCATTTGTATTAAAGTTGAATCCAAAAGCTTTAAAAATTGAAATATTAAAATTCAAAGATAAAATATTTACAAAAGACCTTTCACAAAAATAAACAATATTATTTTGATATCTTATATTTAAAATATTCCATTATTTCAATTTAGAAATGTATTTTCATTATTCTCATTCAGGAATAAAGGTGAACAAAATATTTCTAATATAACAACTAGAAAAAATACTGATACATAAAAGAAAAAAATGTATCAATTATTGAACATACTATAATAATATTTGTAACACTTTATTCATATTAAGGCAGCATAGCTTGTGGATATAACAGGCAATTAGATTTGTTTCATTACTTATGCTTATCAACAGCATCTTAAAATGCACTGACTTTTGAATTTATGAAACCCTGTTCTATTCTGTTTTTTTAAGAAACATACTAAAAACAGCAGCAAGCCTTTCTCTATGCTAATTTATAAAATTATAGGAAAATGGTGAAAATAACTCATTTAATTAACATTGAATTTTATAGTACTTTGTTAATATAAAGGAAGCTCCAATATAAGATGTTCACATACACACACATTCTATCACACACATACATACTTTCATATGAATATACAGTACCTCAGGCAAGGTCAGCAACAATCTTGGTGTACAATAATAGGATATTGCTGTCTCACTGCTAACAGCAAAATATGTGAATCAATTTTGTAACTCTGTTCTTGGAAAAGCAAAGAATCTTCATCAAAATTGTACAATATCACATTGTCATCTAGTGAAGGTTAGGTGACATGACAATCTTCAATCACTTTACTGAATTTAAGATTGTTCCAATTATATGCAAAGCACAGTATTCAATATAAGTTAATTCTGTCACCAACAAAAAAAGTGTGTGTGAAACAATGGATGTGTGTTTTTTTATGTGTATCACTATTTCATTAAAAATCAATCAAAAAAAGTATTTCAGGAAATAGTAAATTTTAGGCCAATACATATAAGTTAAAATTTCAGATCCAGCCAGGTTAACATGGTCAAGACCACTTATTGTTTTCAGTGGAAATGTAACAACTGATTAGTTTTGATTAACTAGAAATATGTTGACTTTTAAAACGGGATTACAACACTATATATAATTTAAAAAAAAAACAAATACACTACATTAAAAAAATTAAGGCTGAATAAGAATCCCCACTTGACTTCTGTGTTAACAATGGAAGTAACTTGGATTTGAGTAGCTTTGTGCCCGCACCAGAAGGATGACGTAAATCATAGTGCAGAGATACACTTAAATTACTTTAAACACTCAAGGAAGCAATACATCAAACTGCTCTTTTTGGACAGACATCCTGAGGTATGGCTCAGGAGTCACTAATACCATTGTTGCCATTTATCAAATGACAAAGTTACTACAGTGTAATATAAAAAAATAAAAAATAAACATACAAAAGGTAACAGATAAACAAAGGTAAAAATAGACAAACACAGAGGAAGCTTCAAAATAAAGATAGTGAATTCTCTCAAAATGTAGTATAATAATCTCATGAAATTTTTCAATTTTCCTTTTTGTAATTACATACTTTAAGATCATTCTGAAAATAAAAAGACTCTTTAAAATTGTTTTAAAAAGTCTAAAACTTATTTTAAATCCTACAGCAAGAAACAAGAAATAAACGTGCACAGCTTGTGAATGTCAAAGTTTATAATTTTGTTTAGATAGAACTGTGTATTCAGATGTTTTTCTGTGGCAAAGTCTCCCTTGATTAAAATTCTCATATAAATTCCCTGCTACAAAAATTAACTAAAATGATTATGATTACATGTATTGAGACATAATTTTTGTAGATGCCTTCATTCTCATATCATCTAACATCCTTTTTATCATGTAACTTCCTACTTATAAACATTTTAGATTTTCTGTATTGTTTGATACACTATCAACACAAATCCATGTTTTCCCATGATCATTCACAAATGAATGCATCTCAAGACATAAAAATAGACATCAAAATATTGCAGCACTGAAAATGTAAATGATTGAATTTTCTGTAAACCTAATAAAGACTGAATGTACTCTCTTCCTAAATACATTTCATTCATATAAATATTTATAAAGAAAGCTTAATACAACAAAGTTCCAACAAAATGCAAATGTTCTGTAAATAACTGTATAATCATCCAGATAGCAATATGATGTTTTGTTGAAAATGATACTGCGTTATATATAATATTATATGTTCTTCAAAATGAAATAATACATATATAATAATATATATAATAATATATATTATGTAATATACTGATAGTGCGGGTAATTTGAAATTATTTTATAAATATCAGTGTAAACAATTAAGGTGGCCTAACTGTTTAAAGTATTATATTTTTTCCATTCATGTGTAACAACAAATTAGACTCAGGTAATGATGATGATAATAATAATAATAATAATAATAATAATAATAATAACAATGACAATGACAATGACAATAACAATAACAATAACAACAACAACAACTATTATTATTATTATTATTATTATTATTATTATTATTATTATTATTAGTGTTGTTGTTATTATTAAAATTAATAAAAATACCTATACATAAATACATAGCCCTATATATATATGGACACAGCAAAAGCGGGTCAGAAACCCTTAAATAATTTTCATTAAATTTGATATGAGCATAAATATTATTACATATTAAATGATTCATTTAAATGTTATAATTCAGTTTCTTCAGGGAAACAAATGTGACATAACTTCAATATACCCAAAATTAATTTAAACAAGAACCATGCTTTTGCTAATTTATAATAAATTAAAGCTTATGGCTTTTTTAGACATTTTTTATACAATGCTTATAAATTCACATAAAGCTTTCACAAAAATTGTAGTAATTTTGAATATTATTACATTTGTAAAATAATTTTCTTTAAACGAGAAATTCTAGATCAGCTGTCTGCAAAATTAATATGATAGTTGTAGCAAAATGAAGACTTATAAAGAATTTCACACAGTGAATTATACAATCACAAAGATTTGCGAAACTGGCACAAACATGCGAAGATAGAGTACATGTGTGAAAATGTCTGACAGAATCCTTAAAAACATCCAGAGTACCAGGACTTTAGTTTGTGGAATTATTATTTTTTGATAAAACTGACTGAATCACCTGTGTAGAAAGAAATATATAATTCAGTAAGCAAACTGAATAAAGTAATCAAATATCTCTGCAAGGAATTAATCAAATCATCAGTGCCTATCTATATATACATAAACTACAACAATGAAATAAAATACCTAATAAAAGCCCCTTGGATCTCCCATTTTAAAAAGTAAAGAAATGCACAACATACTGTACATTGTGTTGACATTAGGATATGTAAGTTTTTAACTAAAATTACTTTTGTCTGTGCTGTTACCTTGTACTTCAAATAGAATATTGAATTTCAGATTCTGAAATGCAAACCAATAATTAACAATTAATACAATTCAATAATTCCTTTACTTTAAAAAGAAGAAAAGTCAACCTTAAAAGACAAAAATAAATAACTCAAAGTATCAAAATGAATAGTGTAATAACCATAACAAATTACCTAAAATTAATCTAAATAATACAGACTAAATTAAATGAGAAGTTATTTTAAAATGTATTTATTTATTATTGGTAAATTATTAAAAAATACATGTGCTGAAATACATTTACCATTTGTAGCCAGATGTTACACCAATACTTTCGTACATCTTCATTTCTGAACCCTCACTCCCTGTTGTGTGTGGATACTGAGTCAGTTGTGGCTCATAATGAACTACTGAATTGTACAGTTGCAACTTTTTTTCTTTCCAAATCACTAGTAACATCAAATACAAATTGTTGTGGATGAGCAATCACAAATCAGTAGAATAAAACAGATTTTCTAAATCCCTTATTCCCATGTTTCTTCCATTTTAGCTGCCTCTGGTAAAATGGCTCTGTCTGCAATAACAGGCTATGTTTATTTCCCCTTCTATATTTACAGAAACCTAACATCGCCCATACTGTTTACATACTGTATATGCATTTTGGTCATACAGTGCAATATGTGTAAAGCAATCAAAGAAAAAAAAGTGAAGGTAAGAGAATTGAGGATGCTTGTATAAAAATAGGTGCTACGTTAAAATATCAGTATTACACAAGTTAATTATTACTTTTATTGTTTATGAAGCTTTATATATGTATATATATATTATATAAACTCCTTATGATTTGTCTGAGATAGAACTCTGAAGACTTTTGAGTCTCCTATTTCAAAAAGTGCAGAAAGCACACAAAGACACATTTTTAAAATGGAGCCTTGTGTTGACATTGGGGTGTGCCAACTTTTAATGAAGCCACTTTGGCTTTGCTAGCTAAATAATCCTGTACTAGAAACAAAACCTTTAATTTAGGATTATAAAATATAAACCAAGTAATATCATTTAATAATTAATTTCAATAGTAAATGGAAGATTTCACAAAAGTATACCCTTAAATTTATACTTACAGACTTAGCATCCTTTGTTATTGAAGGAATAGAGAAGAAATGCCTCGTGCAAACAATGCACCGTTTATATTTTTTTGATTAGGTGGTGAGCAGTAAACATCAGTGAATCACAATATATGTAAGATAATATTCCTTAAAATGTTCTTGGATAAAATTACCTTTACATTTCTGTTAATGTGAACTTAATCTTAAACATAAAAAAATATATAATTGAAATTGTCCATTGATGAGTTACGATCAATTTACCTATTTGTCAGTTAAGAAAACATTAAGTTCTGTAACATTATGTATTTAAAAAAAAACACAGTCCAGCACACCCCATATACTGGTAGTCTTTGAAGGTGGTTATTGTTGTGCCAAGGCACTTTAACCCCCATTTGAAATCATAATTTAAGGAGAAAAAATGCTTTATATACTGTATAGACAAATCTGTAATTCAAAACTGGCTGAAGGTTGTCTGTTTCTCAAGAACTTCGAGGTAGTCCGGCTCAGCTTGAAGTTTAGCTTTGAGTTCCAAATATTCATTTCTGTTGGGCTCAACATATACAGTACTTGGTGTTGTACTGTACAGCACAGTCTCTCTTATCCTTTCAGGATGCAAAAATTGACGTCTTAAATCGTAGTTTGGTGTATATGTATATGCAGCTGGGCCACTATACTTGTAATCAATATTGTTCCCAGAAGGTGACTGTTTGTCTGCTTCTAGAATACCTCTGTAGAAATGCTCTGCATTTTGTACTGGTGATGATTCTTCTCTTGGTTCTATTGTACTCACACTATATGTTGGACTTCTTAAATGACTGTCTCTTTCTTCATCAATATTATTTCTATATGTAACTTTTAGCTCATGCAGGTCTCTGTAATCCTCAACTGAATTCCCTTCTCTTGATCTGTAAATTGGGTTTTTGCACATGTGACCCAGTGGATGTGGGATATACTCATACACATGCCCAGCAGGGGTTTTTACTTTGGGAACTGATCTGTTACTATAAAGGCTATACTGCAGGTTAAAAGAACTCACATCTGAGTTATTAGTGCTGGTTCGGTCATTTTGAGACTTTTTTCTTCTTTTCATTACAACCACAAACAACCCAGCAGCTACAAAAACAGACATTATGAACACTAGCAGAAGGCTCAGAATTAGAACAGACAAAGGTACTGAGCTTGATGGTGTATTATATTTAATTGATGTTTCTATAGTGGTGGCTCTTTCTGAAAGTGGTTCTTCAGAAGGTGGAGGAGTAGAAACAATTATGTCAGAGTAATCCGGACAAAGAAGATCAGATGAAATGGACCGAATATCCTCACCAGACATTTTCTTTGGAGACCCACAGATCACATCATTGACAACAGCACCAGTATTAAGCTGCTCCAGCCAGATCTTCATTCCAATTATATCACAAGTGCAATCCCAAGGGTTTTCATGCAAATCAATTTGAACTAATGATGTGAGCTGATCTAACACACCACTTACTGGTAAATTGTGGAAATGGTTGCTTCGAAGGCTAAGTCTTTTTAAAGTCAGGCCTGCAAATATGCCTCCAGGTAAAGTTTTCAGAAGGTTGTTATTGAGAAAAAGAAGACGGAGATTTGGTACATACTGAAAGGTACCTGATACAATGTCTCTTATCACATTGTATTCTAAATACAAATATTGTAGGCTCTGTAGCCCATAAAACATTTCTGCTGTGAGACGCTGAATTAAATTACCATTCAGGTAAAGCCTACGCAAGTTTTTTAAATCTCCAAAGGCTTTGTCATGTATGATAGCTATCCGGTTGTTTCCAAGGTGAAGTAAATCTAATCCAGTAGCATCAGTGAAATCAGATCTATTCACCATGGCAATGTAATTTCCTGTAAGATACATCTTTTTGGGATTGTATGGTTTGGGTTTTAAATCAGCAATGTTTTCAATCTTTCTTTCTTGGCAGTTAACATTGAGTCCTAGATCAGATATTTGTAAATTACAAGTACAGGCAGTGGGACACTCCAAAGGCACTGGGGATTTGGTCTGATAAGCAATTATTGGTCCATAATTGTATGCATTATTTGAAGGAATGCGAGATGTAGGCCTTGCTCTTGGTTTGTTTGGTTGGCGAGTACCCTTTGTGGGCTTTGAAGAAGATCTTAAAACAGCTGATGATGTAGCTGAAGCCGTCACAGCTGCCGGTGTGGTATGAAAATATCCAATAGTGCTCAAAGGTGGTTGTGGTCTCATTTCATATTCAGAAATTGCTCTTCTAGGGCATAGTTCCTGTTTTGAAACCTCATCCAAATCTCTACCATGAAGCCGGAAAGGTGTTTCACACACAACCTCCCCAACTAAAGCTGAATAAGAAATGCTTTCCAGCCAAGCTTTCAAAGAAATTAGCTCACAAGAACAATTCCAAGGATTTTCTTCAAGTTGTAATTCCACAACTTTGTCCATGTGTTCCAAAAGACCTACATAAGGTAACATTTTAAGTCTGTTTCCCCTCAGGTCAAGGTGAGTTAATGGAACATATCGAAAAATGTTACCTGGTAGAATAGACAACAAGTTGTCATTTAGAATAAGTACCTGCAAGTGGTGTAATTTGCTCAAGGCATTAGGTTCAATGTTTGTTATATAATTGTAATCAATCTGCAGATACTCCAAACTTTCAAGCCCAATAAATGTATCATCCCTTATCATTTCTATTTTGTTATTGTTCAGATGCAATCTCTTTAATCCTTGGAGTCCGTTAAAAGCTCCAGTTTCAACTTCTTGAATATCATTGTTTCCTAAATGTAAAATTGTAACCCCAGTGTAATTGATAAAATCATTTGGGGAAAGTCGTTTCAGAAGATTTCCAGTTAACAGAAGATGATACATAGAAAAATGTACTGGGCTTATTTCTGAAAGTCTGACAATTCCTCTGTTTTCACAGCTTACTGTTAAAATTCCATCTTTCTCTTCACAAGAACAGAGCTTTTGGCAAATTTCTCCATAATTTTCATACATCTCTATAACATTTAGAGATGTAGCAGCCAACAAGATGATTTTCAATATCCAGATATGCATTTTCACAGAAATGGGTGTCCCAGTTCAGTGTAGTGCCGTTGCTGAACGTAGCGTCATCTAAAAAGACAATAAATAATTCCCGGTATTTTCTGTTTAATAACTGAAGTAATTTTCACTCTATAAAAACATAAAAAACAAATGTCCTTATCATACAAATTTAGAATGATATATATTGTAAATGCAGTTTTAACACTGAACAAAAGGGGCTACATTTTATATAACTGAAATGTAATATGGAGAAGCATAAACCAATATTTTAAGAACATATGGCAAAATAAGTTTTAAAAAAACATTAAATCAAGCTTTGCCATTAAAGAAAAACATACAGATGCTTTATGCAATACAGTTCATTGTACCTCATCTTGCCCTTTACTGTAAGCTTTATCATTATCATTAGATTAAAAAAACAAATACTTGTCATGGAACAATACATAAATGCTTATCAAGAATTTGTTTTCAAACACAGGCTCCACTAAGACATTTCTGTTAAGTCACGAAATACTGGCTGTCATGAGTAAAAACAAAAACTACATGTGTTTCCTTAAAAAAATGTACAGTATGAAATCTATTATCAGATACATAGTTTTGGTTGCAACTATATAATCCCTATGTGAAAAGTAAACGTTATTTATGTACATTTGTATTATATAAATCGAATTATGATTTTCAATACAATAATGCCCCCCAAACAGTAATAATGGTTATCAAGATATACGCATCTCTACATAAAGCAGGCAAAAAAGATAATTAACGCAGAACTATTTTCTTTTAAAAATAAAATGTTAATTTAAAATACAATGATCCCTAATTATCTTTGTTCTTTTAAAAAAGTAATAATTCTGTTCTAGGTAACCAACCCACAACCGAAGACGAAATAAAACGATAAAACACGATAAATAGAAAAAAAGAAATCATAGTTTTTCCGTAATTAACCACAGAATATAAGATATGTATGTTTTCTTTCGTTACTTACCCCGCATTTCAGAGGATCTGTAAATATAAACTCTTTTGTATCAACCATATCTGACATAACGCTTTCTTCCAAAATTTTGTAAAATTGGCCTATTAAAAGCTCTATAATCAGAGTATTCATCTTGGAAAATGATCATCGCCAATGTTAAAACCGTCAGGGGTGCTGATTATAGCAGCGATGACTGTCAGAGCTCTTCATCCTTCAGGCAAAAAGACCTGAGTTGATTAAAAGCACAAACGAATGACCTACGTCATTGATTTAATACCCAAATTTCATCTTGATGGGGAAAAATCTATATTTAGCCTCGTTTCGTTACATCTTTTTCGACATAGGAAGAACAATGTATTACTTTGCACACAGGTACCTTTTTGTCTATCAAAGGGACAAAAAGTATGCCCTTTAAGTGACCACGGTTTTATCATTTCATAGATGCATGATTCCAGCCTAATGCTGAAACATAAAACAGGGAAATTTCTTCATTGCAAGGCTTATTACTATTCCATGTACGAAAATTAGAGTGTATTACTTTCTGTATTGGTAAACTCTCAAGTAGTTGTTCTTTTTAGAATACACTAATTTCAAATATGTATCGGAATTTGCTTCTGATTGTGTGTTTTTATATTTTTCGTTACCGCGTTTTGCATTTTTAAACATGATTATATGTTCACTGTAACACTCTTTAAATACATTTATGTGGACACTGGATATCTAAAGCATTTACACAACCGAATGTTTAACGCCTCCATAAAATGTATCAGCATTCAAAGATTTGTGGTATCAAATGAGTACCAAAACGAGACATGGGTGTTGTTATGGATAATTAAATTGTAAAATTCATATTTTTAAACGTTATATGATTCTTTTCATGGCTTTAAATATGCCCAACATATTTAACATTTAAAATAAGCCGTGCAGCATTTAGCTTTTAAAACAGCTTTAGCAACTTAACACCTGCACTGCATCTGTGCTTGAATTTATTTCAGGACCATAGACAGAGAATCCCTTGGTTTCGGTAAAATTTTAAAGTAAACAGTAAAAAGAACTCATTACTTACCCGGTTGGACTTTTCAAAGGCCACAACATTGCACCGATAACAGATTTTTTCCCCTGTGAAGGATCAGAAGCAGTTGCTACGGTTTCAGCAGCTCCACTGTAAAATCCTTAAAAGTACAGCTTCTGAGGTTTTTAGCTCTGTATACTCAAGCATGGATTGCACAAACTGCCTCATTCACGTTGGCAACGTGACGGCCAGTCACACAAAGCAGTTTGCAATGCTTCACAGAAAAGATCAAGCTTCCCTGGGGCGAGTATTCACAAAGAAGATATAATTTAATGGTTTTATTTCAGAAATATATAAGTGCAGAAATTCACATAAAACAAGGTTTAAACTGATTACGCCTTCTTTTTTTTTTCAAAACAACGACGAGATGGTGAAAAAATGAATACAACCCCCAGTACGTTCTGAGTGGTATGGCTTGCATCGCGTTGTGCTTATGCTTTCTTATTTTTTCCTGTCTCAGGCAAAAGCTGAGCGGAGCACTAATGAGTAAAATAAAACATACCACGGCGAAGCTTACAAGTAACATTCCAATGATTTGCTTCTTAATATATATAGTTTTATATACAGTATGTATATGTCAAAACGAAAAATAAAAAGCTACATATTGTAAAATACCGAAAATGAACAAATGTTCTAATACAGATAATGCATTTCGAACCTTTTTAATTGTACTTAAAATGATTAAGTAAATACCGTATTTATACATTTGTGGACTTGATCAGGTTACAGTAACATACCTCTGTGTCACTGCTAACGAGCTGTTTTTAACAACATCAGTATGTAGAACAATCAATGCAGTTGTTTATCATTTCGCCGTTTTCACAAAAGCAGCTGAAAATGATGCTGTTTTTTTCATGCCTATAGAGGGCAGTACAAGACGATAGAAGCTTAGACTTTTCAAATTTCTGTTGGTGTCTGTTGGTAGCTGATTACTACCGCTTATAAACTGTTCCCTTTATTTACAATAGCAAGTAACGTATTAGTATTCTTTACAGGTCAGCCAGCGAAGCTAACATTAATTTATTGATGTATGTTCCAGGTAAGAACACATTACAGTCGTATTGAACTACATTATGTACTGCATCGTCAATAATTAAATGTCCTGTAAAGTTCCAACCAGCAGTGTTTTGTGGCACTTTTTCAAAATGTATAATAACAATACTAGTCTATCTAAATACTATATTTATAATACAATATTTGAATATAACATAACAGTAAAGATATAAATAAATAGTGATTGTACAATCACAGCAAAAGTGAAAATGCTAACTAGACTCATAAGTTATAATTATTAAACTATTTTTAACGTTAGTAATTATTAAAGATGAACATTAATAAAGTTATCATTGTTGAATAATGATAACAACAACGATAGTCATGTTAACCATTGTTGTTGATTGTAGCATTGAGGTTACTGAAACTTTTATATTACGTTTTCTTCTCCTGACCAGAAACCTTTGGGTCTGATATGTTTTGCTTTTTAATACACATTTGCCCCTACACGTGCCCCTAAAATGTCTCTAGCAAATGGAATGAAACCAATGTCAACCACCTTACATTTTCATGAGTTCCTAATTGATTGATGGTAACAGGTTTAAGGAAATACAAGTTCTAACTTTTTTTGATGGGATAGAATACGGATAGATGTTAGTTTATATACCCTCCAAAGCTCCAGCAACCAGTGTTCCTCTAGTATTCTTGTGAAGAAGGTATTCTGATCTTAGTTATGTTACCAAATACAATGCAATCCATTTAAATTACATCTTTACAAATTACCTCCACTGGATAATCTTTTATGTTATATATATTTGCCCTTTAAAATTAAAATTACTGGTAATTAAAAAGTAAAAAAAAAGCAAACAGTCTTTCAATGAGACTACAAAGTTCTGTCAAATACACTGAAAGATGATTTAGCTGAATTGTTGGTCACACACCTTGACAAGTTCTTTATTGTGCTGTACTTTTTGCAGAGTAATGCAGCATGCCCAAGGCTGTTCAATTTGAAGCATTTTCTTTAGTTTCTGGACTTTCTCCAGTACTTTCCATTCCTGATGTCTGGTCACTCACTCTTGGTGGTATTCACTTCTTCTCCTGTTTTGGAACAAGCTAAAGGGAATATTAAGAATATGTCACCTTTAACCATATTCTGAAATTACTCAGATTCCCCTATTTAAACTGTACATTCATCCCTATGATTAGTTCACAGAGAAATGTATCTAGTACAGTACTACTGGACACATACTACTAAACACATAATTTAATGCGCCTAAGTATTTGGACTATAGATGAACTTTGAGTCAAAAAAGCTATCTAAGTCGATTCCCTACTATCTTAAAGTATATATTTAGTTATATAACTTTTTATACTGTATTGTATTTCTTTCTCTTATTATTATATAAACCACTGGACGTAATGCAAATAAGTGCATTGCATTATTATTTGTACTATTTACTATAATATAATAAAAAACAATATAATAATTAAAGAGTACAAATTATAAATGTATTCTTTAATGCGATTGTTTAAACAACATGACCCTTTTAAATTATTCAGGATAAAAGCTTTGCCAAACAAATAAATTAAATTATTATTATAAATAATTCTTATGCTAAAACCTGTAAAATAATTATCTGCCAATTTCAGAAATCATTTTATGATTGTTCAATACTTTCTGTGTGACTGTATTTTTTTCATGAAAATATAATACACCCTAACTATAATTCACAGGTTAGCCTCAAATCTAAATATTTTCTTCAAAATCTTTGAATTTCTATCAACCAAATGTGATCTACTTGTATGAAATATGGAGTTTTAAAACAATTTTTAAAGGCCATTCAGCCATTTTAAGCTTTTCTGTTTCCTTACATTGTTTAAAAGAACACCAATTCTGTTGTACCTGCACCTCAATGCATCAGTATTGACAAGATGACAAGGGAATTTGCTCCAAATAAGTACCACTATTGCCTTCTTCCTGCCTTAGTACTGAATCTGTCAAAGCTCAGCTCCAATTAGACATCCTACTTTCAAAGCTCAGTGTAAATAGAATTAAATCTTGAATATGCAAGCTTGCATGTCCAGTTGAATATCCTCTTTACTTAGTGTTGATGCTAGTTATTACAAAAGCATGAAACCTGTTCTTCAGGATGCAAAGGCAATATAAATCAGTATGACGTTCCTTTGACTTCATTAAAATATAAATTCCTGTGGATATTAATTTAATATTAACTGAGATGTCCTGATTGTACAATCTTATTAAGGCATATTTCCTATATTAAAGTAGAAATCTTTAAATATCTAGGTCCCTGTGGAATCCTTGTTACAGCATAGTTTTGTGTGTTAGTGCAAGTCGGGGGGGTAGGTACTGTATTTTGCAGTGAACTTTCATTGAGATGGTAAGGGTTGGTGATGGTCCTCAACCTGTCAATTTCAAACTGACAAAATCATCAAGCTTTTAGAGAGCACTGGTGGAGAATAATGAAATTGAAATGTCCTGTACTCAGAAACATAGCGACATTTGCTATTAAGGTTTAATACATGAAACAGATTTTGTTTTGGTTTCAGTTCACAAACTACACAGCTACACAAACACATCCTTACTGTGGGCTCATCTTGACAAGACAACGTTCCAGTACGACAATACATGTCTTTGTGCTGCTCATGAAACGCTGGATTGTGTTTTTTAAGATGAGAATGGGATTGTCATGGGTGCCCTTTTCACCACATTTGAGTCTCACTAAACATTAATGGGATGAGCTGTAATGAAGAGAAACATCCAGTACTTGGAGACCAATGAGAAGGTACATAGCATGTTTGCCCATGATCTAAGAAAGAACTAAATCAGAATCAGAATACAACATCTGAAAAAAAGATAGAAAGCATGCCCTGCAGATATACAGCTAGGCTTGCTTCCAGTAGTAGCTACACATTCTACTACAGTAGCCTATAACTTCTACAACAGACTCCATGCTGATGAGCCTTCTAGATGACAAATGTTAATCAGCAAAACAAATGTACCTCATGTCCAATTTTTTCAATGAACAATCAGTGCATCTGCGATAAATATGTTTTCATCATTTCTTTGATAATAACTTTGTGAATGTGTTGCAGTTACAAGCTATACATTTATTTATTTTGATGCTACCTCTGTATTGTGTATGTCTGTGCACAAAGATGTTCCCACAGTCAATCAAGACAGGCTAATACACATTGACTGGAGAATGTGTAGCACCCATCCATAATAAGGGTGAAAAACAACAGGGAGCTATGGATCATTAACTATTAAGTCTATTACATGTAGGTTTGTGGAAACATTTATTAGAACTAAACTAGAGTATTCTCTGTGTGGCTGTAGGATTCTAGGGGACAGTGAGCATGGATTTATAGAAGGCAGCTCTTGCTTTATTAATGTTTTAGAGATATTTGAACAAGCAAAGCAATAACAGATACAAACAGAGAATATAATATGGTATATGTACATTTTTAACTTGGAGTTTATGCTGTATATTCTTCCCATTGTCACGATTGTAGTCCCTCCTCCTTAAGGGCGCTCCGTCTCTTTTCACTTGGGATTTAATTCTGTGCACCTGCCCCTTGTTCCAGCCTCCTTCCCATCCCCCTTAAAAGCCAGACACTCAGTCAGTTCCTGGCTCTGCATCTGATTTCCACATTGTGCGAGCCTGTGTCCGGATGTGTCTGGCTCCGTCATGTTTTTAAATCTCTGTCTCTGTTCCTGTTCCCCCTGCCAGTTCCGACCCGGTTCCTGGTTTTAATCTCCTGGATGGATTGCCTGGCCATGGATTTATGCTTGTGTTTTTGGATTCCCCGTCTGGATTACCTTTGGATTGTTTGCCTCGGCCACACCTCCCCCATGCACCAGCGCACTTTGGACACGCCCCCCTGTTTTCATCGCCATATTCCTGCATGACTTTTCCCCAGTGTTTCCTCACTTCTTCGGATTGTGTCATCCGCATAGGTTCCAGAAAGGACTCTTCGTTACACCCATGTTTGTGTGGGTTTCCTCAGGATGTTCCGGTTTCTTCCCACAGTCGTAAGACATACTGGTAGGTTAATTGTCTTCTGGCTCTGGTGTGGGTGTGTGTGTCTGTGTACATGTGTGCCCTGTGATGGACTGGCGCCCCATCCAGGTCCATTCTCATCCCATCCATGTCTCATACTATTGTGTGCTTAGAGCTTCTCAGGATAGGCGTCGGCTCCCCTACAACCCTTTATTGGAGAAAGCTGATATAAACTATTAGAAAATTGATGGAGTATTTTTATTATCAGTAGACCTTTGATTAAGTTCTCCATAAAATATTATTTTTTAATTACAGGCAATAGGAATTCCATGAAATTATTGTGATTGTATCAAAAACTAGTTAACCCACATTGGGGGTGACATATTTAGTAACATTAATATACTAAAATGCAACAGGGTCATTACCTGATCACTCTCTCATCCTAGCGT